GGATGGAGGACGGATGGATATGGCGTGCCGGAGATTGCATTGGATCGGAAGGTAAATGCGTGGAAGGTTGGGACCCATGGGACAAGCCGGGTCCATCAAGTGGATCGTTTGTAAGGATCGAGGGTTGTCGGGGCGGACTAGGCCCATCGGGCAAGCGGTCAGAGTCGGTCGGCGACGAAGGGGCGAACACGGACGAACAACGCGCATCGGCCCGTGATGCGCGCGAAGGGGCGAACGACAAGCGGATGGCGTCGGGTGCACTCAGGTGCGCGGTAGAAGATTGGAGCACCAGCGTAGGCGGGACGCGCTGGGTGACCGCGGGGCGCGAAGACAACGGCAAGGTGGCTGGCGTGCGCTGCACTCGCAAAGGTGGCGGGGACGTGCGGGAGGAGGCCAGCGAGAACACAAGGCGCGCGATAGCGCGCGAGTGGGGAGCAGGCGCAGACGACGTCCTAAGCCGAGCGGGCGTAGGAGTGCTGGGGGCTGACGCACACGTGAGCGATATGGACGACGAGCGCTAAGAGCGCGCAATGGCGCGCGAGTGCAGTACGGGCGCGGACGTCCTAAGCAGCGGAGGACTAGGCAGGGCAGAAGCGTGCAAGGCGCGCGCGCGAGACGCCGCGCGCGACTAGGAGTAGGCAACGCGAGTCGGCGTGCGCGCATGGAAGGCGGCCGAAGTGCGTTGAGGCGGCTAAGGTTTTGGGCATGCGACTTGGAGCTCAAGTTACTTGGAGAGCAAGATTAAGTAGTAGTAGTAGTAGTAGGATTTTATTTTCTTATTGCTTTATGATATCTAGATTGTTTAGGTTATTTAATATTTTATTGCTTTAATAAGTTCCCTAGTAAGATTAGGACTAGACTAAGTTAGGATCTATAAATAGGGATCATCCCTCATTGTTTTAAATAGTCCAGAATTGATGATTTGAATAGAAAAGGAACGTTGTGTTCAATCGTGTGTTTAAGCAAGGCCATTAGTGCGTGTTTATCATACACCCATGTCTGAGAGAAGGCCCTGAGAGTGTCTTGAAGTCACACCTATCGTGTTTAGTCGAAGGCCCTGAGTGCGCGATTATTCAAAACCAATAGACAGAAATCACGATCCGTCATCATTGGTGCTTTCGTTGAGAGTTCGATCAAGGTTTTTGTCTATCTATCTTTTTCTTTTTTTCGGTTTGCCTTTTGCTGAGGGCCGTATTTTTCTTCTTTTTGTTCGAATATTTTTTGGAATTTTCCTTCTTTTTTCTTATTTTTTTTGAGAGTTAAAAAAAAGTGTCATCCTAGTTTGGTTGATTTAGAGTCTTAAAAAAAATGAAGAGAGTCATGATGTTTGAGCCATTAGATGAGTTGGATTTGGAAGATCTCGAATATCTGGAAGGTTTGGAGAGGAGTTTGACTCCGGATGAGCAAAATTATTTGCAAGAGCTCCACGAGCGAAAGAGCTTAGAAGAAAAGCACGCCAAGGAAGTTGAAAAGGTCGAAGTCACGAACAATGATGATGAAGGTGCGTTGAATTTCATTATCCTTGAGGACAAGGAAAGTCTTGAAGAGGAGGGGAATGATACAGAAGTGGTTATTAACCCTGGTGAGTCAAGCGACGGAATGGTCGAGGATCTCGATATATGGTTGGAGAACATGCTGGAGGAGCCATCAAGGCCGATTTATCGCCCTTCATGCATGAGAGATTGGCCGAAAGGATGTGGTCCAAGGTCTAAGTCGGGGAAACGTAAGGTCAAGAGGCGACGCAAGGCAAAGGCTAGTAAGGCAAGCCCTTGGTGTAGGCCTTGTGCAAGGAAGAAACGAGCTTGGAAAATAGAGGCTAGAAGGGGTGGTAGGCAAAGGATGGAGGACGGATGGATATGGCGTGCCGGAGATTGTATTGGGTCGGAAGGTAAATGCGTGGAAGGTTGGGACCCATGGGACGAGCCGGGTCCATCAAGTGGATCGTTTGTAAGAATCGAGGGTTGCCGGGGCGGACTAGGCCCATCGAGCGAGCGGTCGGAGTCGGTCGGCGACGAAGGGGCGAACACGGATGAACAACGCGCATCGGCCGGTGATGCACGTGAAGGGGCAAACGACACGCGGATGGCGTCGGGTGCACGCAGGTGCGCGGTAGAAGATTGGAGTACCAGCGTAGGCGGGACGTGCTGGGTGACCGCGAGGCGCGAAGACGATGGCGAGGTGGCTGGCGTGCGCGGCACTCGCGAAGGTGGCGGGGACGCGCGGGAGGAGGCCAGCGGGAACACAAGGCGCGCGAGTGGGGAGCAGGCGCGGACGACGTCCTAAGCCGAGCGGGCGTAGGAGTGCTGGGGGCTGCACACGCGCGCGAGATGGAAAGCGAGCGCTTAGAGCGCGTGATACGGAAGTGGTCATCAACCCAGGCGAGTCAGAGGATGAGGATGGCGACGATCTCATTATATGGTTGGACAACATGCTAGAGGAGCCATCAAGTCCCATATGTCGACCTTCTTGTGTAAGAGATTGGCCAAAGGGATGTGGTCCGAAGTCAAAAGTCAAATCTATGAAGTACAAGGCCAAGCAAGCTCGAAGGAAACGCAAAGTAAAGGCTAAGGAAGGGAAGTGTTGGTGCAAGCCTTGTGCAAGAAAAAGACGAGCTTGTAAGATGGAGGCTCGAAGGAGAGGTAAGTAAAGAATAGAGGATGGTTGGATATGGCGAGCTGGAGATTGTATTGGGTTGGAAGGATGGGACCCATGGCCATCGGGCAAGCTGACGGAGGCGAGCAGCAAAGGGGTCGACGGAAGTCGGCTAATGAGCGAAGGGCGCGCATCGGCTCATGATGCCCGCGGTTGGTGTGAACGCGAGGTAGCGCGGGGAGCACGCAGGTGCGGAGTAGGCGATCGGAGCACGGGCGTTGGCGGGGACGCGCTAGCGACAGGCGGCGTGGACGCAGGGGACGCAGAAAGCGCGACTAGCGCACACGCGGATGAAGGCCTAGGCCTAGGGGGCCTAGGAAAGGCGGCAGCGCACGCGCGCAAGGTACACGGCAGCAGCGGAGCATGCGCGATAGCGCGCGAGTGCAGCGCAGGCGAGGGAAGCCCAATCCGCGCAGGACTAGGGCTAGCGGATGGCGAGCGTGCGGGGGACGGTAACGCGTGGACGGGCGAAGGCCTCAGCCGTGTAGGCTTAGGCGAGACGGGCGACACTAACGCGAGGGAGGACCGTGACCGAGTGGGACTAGGAGAACGGGGCGCGAGGTACGACGCGCGGAAGGAAGGCGGCGCAGGTGAGGCGCGCGCAATACCGCGCACGTGCACGGAGGACGCGAGCAAAGCCGCGGCCGACGAGGATTAGGCCTCGCGGGCGCGCACGCGCAAAAGGAGGCAACCGAAGTGACTTGAGGCGACGAAAGGTTTTTGGGCGTGTGAAGGACTTAAGCTTCTAGAAATTCTTTGAGTGCAAGCCAAGCATTAGTAGTTTTAGTAATAATAGGATTTTATTACCATGTTGCTTTTCATTCTAGTATTAGGAGATCTAGATCTATTAGGCTTAGATTTATTTTATGCATCTATAAATACCCATGTACCTCTTCATTATTAAGATGTTTTGGAATTGATGAGTGAATAGAAAAGGGGGAACTTGGTGTTCTTACGTGTGTTTAAACAAGGCCATTAGAGCGTGTTTACATACAATGTCGGAGAGAAGGCCATTAGAGCGTCTTGAAGTCACGGTGTCTAAGAGAAGGCCGTAGTGCGTCTATTAGTCACATCTATCGTGTGTAGTCGAAGGCCCGAGTGCGCGATTACATACAACCGAATAGGCAACAACCGCGATCAACACTCTCGATCACTCATCAGTGCGCAATGGCGCACGAGTGCAGTACGGGCGCGGACGTCCTAAGCAGCGGAGGACTAGGCAGGGCGGCAGCATGCGAGGCGCGCGCTCGACCAGGAGTAGGCAACGTGAGTCGGCGCGCGCGCATGGAAGGCGGTCGAAGTGCGTGCGGCTAAGGTTTTGGGCATGCGACTTAGAGCTCAAGTTACTTGGAGAGCAAGATTAATTAGTAGTAGTAGGATTCTATTTCCTTATTGCTTTATGATATCTAGATTGTTTAGGTTATTTAATATTTTATTGCTTTAATAAATTCCCTAGTAAGATTAGGAATAGACTAAGTTAGGATCTATAAATAGGGATCATCCCTCATTGTTCTAAAGAGTCCAGAATTGATGAGTTGAATAGAAAAAGAACGTTGTGTTCAATCGTGTGTTTAAGCAAGACCATTAGTGCATGTTTATCATACAACCGTGTCTGAGAGAAGGCCCTGAGAGCGTCTTGAAGTCACACCTATCGTGTTTAGTCGAAGGCCCTGAGTGCGCGATTATTCACAACCAATAGACAGAAACCGCGATCCGTCATCACGGGGCTGGCCCGCGCGAGTCCTGGCCGCCATCAGAGGCTGGCCCTCGCGACCGGCTTCAACAAAATCGGCCGACCCTCGCAGCCGGCTTCAACAAAATCGACCGGCATAGCCCACCGGCCAATACACGGAAATTTAAAAAAAAAAAAAATTAAAACATGAAAGAAAAAGAAAAACATACTCCTGGAATGAAATACCTTGCCTATGCGTGAGGGTTGTCCGGACATTTTTCGGAATTTTTTCAAAGAGAGACGAGAGAGAGGGTAGAGAGGAGAGAGAGAGAGAGAGGTTTTTTTTAAAAAAAAAAAAAAAGAAAAAACTGAAAATGGCAAAATGGTATTAAATGGGGGCGTACGATAGTAATAGGGGGGCAATATTTAGTAATTCCCCCACCTACTAATAATAATAACTGGAACATTGTCAATATGCACACTGAAAAACCCAATACAAAAGCAGACGCAAACTTGTTTATCTATAGTAATGCTCATCATTCATAACAAAAAATATTCAGGACAAACAGATTATACAACCACTAATTACAGGAATGAAGTGTATTGATAAATAAAGAGACATCTCACCAACAAGAGGAAAAATAGAGAGCAAAGTGGAAGGGCTGAGGAAAAAAGATCACGTTGCATGAGCATTGTGTGTTCTTGATGCCCATATCCCAAACACAAGAAACCAAAATACAAACAAGATGGCCCAGTATCGAGCAGGCCCGTACTTGATTCTGGTTAGAGCAAACTGCACAAGTACGAAGAAAGCTTTTTATCAGGAGATATAAACAGGGTAACCTCACATGAGAAGAAATAAAACTCTAGGAAATGTCCAGAAGTGGACTAGCTACGCGTATAGTAGCAAGTTAGTATCGGCCCCCAAATCCAAAAAAGCCATTCAGATTCTGCTGTTCAACACGTTGTGAATCTATTTAATGTAAAAAGCTCAAAAGCAAAGCCACGACTATGTAAGGCACCTAGAGTCCTTTTGTTCCCAGATCAAAATCTCTGTGAAGTAATGAGTACATCAAATCTTCTTGTCTATAATGTTCATATAGAAAACAGGAAACTGGTTTCACTGGCATGCAAATAAATATAACTCAAGTGTAAAATGAAAACATAATTTTCCATCTTGCTTTTATTTTCTTTTTAAAAAATAAGTTGTACTGCTATTTTTATTTGAGGTGGACGTATAGTCTATGATGAGGAACAAGAGCATGTAAATACTAATAGCCACCTGAATGGATCTGTCAAGCATTCTACATGGGTCAACGAAACAAAATCATATAACATACTGTAAACTTTCCTTCAGATTTCACAATGCATAGCTTTCCATCGTAGTATCAAACGTATAATTTTTCTTGAGTTGTCAGTGACTGACATATAGACCTGTCGAGCATAACAAATCCCTCATATTACAATGAACAAAAAAACAAGTAACTGAACTTACAAATCGGAAGAAAACTACAACTGTCAAGGCGCAAACGCCTCCTAGAAGAATATGCAGGCCATTTTTAGCAGCTTTCTGCAAAAAATAAAAAAGCAGATACTTCACTTAAACATCATTTCAGGATAATAACAGGCAACTAGAATGGAAATGACTTTCTAAATAGAAAACACAAAACTGTGTGAAACCTATGTCTCACACATCTACATATGGGGTATCAGATAAGATACGACATGGATATGGCAATATAGTAAAATTTAAAAGTTTAGCACATGATACGGCTAGGATATGGAAATTATTAAAAAAAATCATAAATGATGTCATATATATTTGTATTATTAAATACAAAAATTCAATACTATTAAGTCTTACCATACATACTTAACAAATAAAAATAGAGTCAAATAAGCTTATTGTGCCTATCATGCAGCGATGCATTTTCCTACTTCATTGTTTTTGTGATTGGCTGGATATTAGGCCAAATAAGCTTGCTGCCAAACAGACCGGCATCAATGATTTGCCACCCCCTAGGGGCAAGCATGAGCAAACCAATAGAACGCAAGAAAGTGAGTGGTGGAACACATAATGTTCCATTAGGCTATGTTCAAATCTGATTCATACCATGTTTCCCAAACCATGTCTATGCTTCCTTGTTAGTATCAAGTTTGGAAACCCGATATTCAATTGAGTTTCAAACACTTCATGGTCAATGGAAAGGCGCATTTTGAGCAAAAAAAAGAAACAAAAGGTGTTTGAGATGCACCTATAGCGTCAAAGATATTACTAAGACTAGATCCAATAATATAATTTGATATATAGGTAATTGTTTCTAAAGAAGTCATCCAAATTGAACAGAACCAACCCACCGTATCTCTCCGAGGTAATCTTCTGCATGTTCAGTTTTTCAATTTTTCTTTTTAGCTGGTCCTATCTCCACAGCATATGGGTGGATCTTCAGAGACACAAGGTTTATAATTTTTGGTGACAAATGATAAAAGAGCAATCTAACCAATATTACTCCAATATACTGAACCATTTTTTGTACACCTTACTCATTAGTCATTATGCACGAGGTATGGTTTAATGAAGTTAAACTGGCTTTAGGATTATCCTCTCTAAGCTTGAAGTGAAAAGCATAATCATGTGGCTCAACAAATTTGTCGTCATATATAAGTTAGAAATAGGTCTGCAAATGAGTCGAGCGGCTCGCAAGCGCTTCAAGTCAATACTCGACTAGAGCACAAGTTTGACCGAGCTCGAGCTCCATCATTTCAAATTCGAACTTGAGCTCGAGCCTGTAGTTTGAATGCTTGATCTCGAGCGTTTGTGTTTTGTTCTCAAGTCAAGCCGAACCTCGCAACACAGGCTTGTCGAGCTCGAGCAGGTGTAAAAAAACTCGACCATGGCTCAATAAGGGCAATGCTTGACTCGGCTCGGCTACTCAGAACTAATGAGAAAAGGTTTGACATAAACTTAGCCTCTATACGAAATCACAGACCCCTTGCAACTTGAACATAACAGGGCGATTGAAAGGGCCAATGGAGAAAGTAATCTAGCCAGTTTTAGGTAATTTCCAGTTCAGAGATAATCTTTCATAAGAAAAGGCCACATCACAAACAACAAAACAATGAAAACTTTCTGACCATTAAATGGGGTTACAAGTGTTCACACCTTTTAATTTGTATAGTCGTAAGAATGTACACTACTCACACATTCGCAACATGCACAAACTCAGAGCTTACCTTATGCTATATTACACTTACAATGCAATTCTTCAGTTCTTCTACAAGAAGAATCAGTAACCATACCAGGGTTCTCTAGGCAAATAACCAACAAGACAAACACATCAATTGAGAAGTCACAAAATGTACAAACAATTCCAAGTACCTTTCCAACATGAGGAGCCAGGAGCCATGCAAGAGTGACAGTCAGCAGGCCCGTTGCAAGCAGGATCCCAGTACCCTCCACAGCCCACTTAGTAGCGGTATTTTCAACAGGGGGTACTTCTTCCATGACTGTAACAGAAGTTGAAGGTTGTTCACTGACCACGTGGGAAACAGCTACAGAGCTGTTGTTATGAGGATTGAACCACAATGAAATTTCACTCAACCTTTGCATCCGAATTGCAGCAACAGCATCAGGGTCCACACTGTGACTTACCTGGGCTGGTGCAGGGTTAGGCTGACCGTTAACAATTCTTTCTCGTAGTGTTTCATATTCTTTCAGAGAACCTAAAACCTTTTTTAAATCGGCAGATCCTATATTATTTGCCACGAATCCACAGATTTCGCAAACAGTTGATCCATGGTTGATAAACCACTTTAGCGCACAAGCATAATGTGCTAAAGCAAGGTCACCTTTGCAGGAACATCCAAGCTCAATTAGCCTATCCTGACTGTTATCCAAGCCTAATTCTACATCAGCATTACAAATAAAAACCTCTCCTTTTGGGCTGATAAACTCAACAAACTCTGATCCTCTTGATTCACTTCTGTAACAGGAATTGTTTTCAGTATTTCCTGAGGCAAATATCTTAGGATTCAATTCCTCGTCGGCAATCACGAGGTTACGCGGAGGTGGAAAAATACCCAAGAATTCCAGAGCAACATTGCCCTTTCTATCAGGTTCGACACATTGACAAACTCGGCAAGTTGCAGTGCCAGCCTCCGAGGACATACTACGACGTGAGCTATCATCTCGTGGTTCTTCATTCTCAGCAGGCGCGCAAAACTTATCAACACCTTCACCAGCTTTGTGGGATTTATCTTTCTCCATGACTGTGTACAAAGTTAAGCCTATAAACTTGGCACGTTACTGCTTTTATTAATAGTGGAATCTTTCAACCTCCAGCCATGCATAACCGTTGGGCTAAATCTGCCATCACATGTATCTGTGGGATGGAAGTGATTCTACCCAATTTGTGGATAAAAGACGGAGCCAATCAGAATGCGCCCAGGGTGGGTGTAGGCTTTTCTAACTAGAGCCTGAATGATGGAACCTGCTTAGACACAATCAGCACAATATTGCTAAAAACACAAAACTTCTTAACTTAATGAAAATAAGTGCGAGTAGAAACATCACTTATTTCAATAGCATCATATGCTTTTTTTTTTTTTTTTTTTTAATCGCAACAAAGCTAAAGGTAGCATAATTTACAACGTCTAAAAGCCAACTCCAGCCAGATCTAACCTAAAACATGAATTGAATCGATTGAAATCCAAAAACATCAGAACATAAACATAACACTATATATCAGGAAGCACATGTGCGATAATTAAAGGAAATGGACTGATGCTTCTAATCAAACCAGAGCAACAAACATAGGATGTTTCAACAGGAAAAGGGGAAAACAAACCTCTGCTGTTCTAGTAAAGAGAATCGTATGAAACTGAGATGGGTGGCCAAGCAGTCTCTCTCTCGCTCTCTCTCTCTCTCTCTCTCTCTCATAATTTTACAGTAGGCACTGATGGAGATAGTTCTATGCCTCACTTTATAGTGGGAATTGCTTGAACCTCTTGTAAACCAACAAGATATTCATTGACTGAATATGTGGCCGTTAACAGATATTTGTTAATATTTATGTAATGTCCGAATTTTTTATTATATATTAGCTTGATTTTAGTTCCAAAATAGCAAATTTATATTTATTCCAAGTTCTACTTATTTTCAAGCAGTAAATTGATTTATATAAATTTAGTCTAAATCATGGAGGGTCGGTTCGATTTTTTATTTCCGAAATAAAACTATTTTAGCTGAAGTATCGGTTCATTTTTTTCTTAGAAAAATGGCCGTGAACTTGATCATTTTTATTTCCTAATCGAGCGGTGAAAAAACCGAAAATATTTAATATGGGCGGAAGCCCGGTCGAGCCGAGGCCCCGACCGAAATAACAAGCCGCGAGGCCCATAGTGTCGAGCCCATCACATGCACGGCCCTAGTATCGTGGTCATTTTACCACACAGCCCAATTTCCCTTCACCCGCAGTCCAAGTGGCCGAGCCTAAGGGCCTAGGCCCATCCGGCCATCATCCATGCTTCAAGCCCTTTGGTCCTAATTACAAAATAAGGCTCAAGTCTATCATTAATTTATTTGGGAGTAAATAATGATTTTAGTCCGGTATGTTTCACTACCCTAACTTTTTCGTCCTCTTTAAATTGTATTTTTTTTTATTTTTGTCCAGTATATTTGCAAAAAGGTTACAAAAAGGTCCTATTCATACATAAGGACGAAATTTAAACCTTTTTTTACAATACATAAAGGACTTTTTTGTTGCGAAAATGACATTTTTGTAACATTTTCTAAAACATACGGGACGAAAATAAAAAATGTCATTCGAAGAGGACGAAAATGTCAGAGTAGTAAAACATACAAAACTAAAATTGTATTATACTTTGTATTTGGCCAAAGTCTTATGCCATAGGATTTTGACTTAGTCTTGCAAATTCAAATTCTAACTAGCATTAAATGCTTACCTACCACAAGTATGTACTAGAGGAGATAAGTTGAGGAAAAATCTGAATTTTCCCAACAACCATGTCCCCTCCAAACCCTAGCTATATAAATACATGTCTTCATCCCATTAGTCTCCAATTCTCCTCCCACATCTTCATCCCTTCTCAAGAAGGTACATAGTAAGGCGTTCATACCAAGCACAAGGTGTTTGTTTTAATCCGTACAAAGCCTTCTTGAGTCTGTTGACATGATTAGAATTTTTGAGATCTTTGAACCCTTCTGCTTTACAAAGGCTTCTTCATACAAGATACCATTTAGAAAAGGCAACTTCACATCCATCTGCTAAACAATGAACTTCATTAGGCAAGCAATTGATAAAAAAATACGTACCAATTCGAGCCTTGCAACTGGAGCAAAGATTTCATCAAAGTCCACTTCTTAAGTCTGACTGTAACCTTGAGCAACCAATATGGCCTTGTTGCGTGTAACATTACCAAACTCATCGGTTTTGTTTTTTAAGATCCACTTGTTCCGATAACATTCACTGACGTAGGTTCAGGTACTAGTTCCCAGACGTCATTTCTGGTGAACTGCTCCAGTTCTTCTTGTATGGTTGAGATCCAACATTCATCCTTCAGCGCTTCCTTTGCATTCTTGGGTTCGACCAAGGAGGTGTAGCAAGCTAAGTGAGATATTCCCATGAGTTCCTTAGCTGAGGTTTTTGAATTTCTGGTTACCCTCTCATTCAAGTCACTAATGACCAATTCAGATGGATGAGCTTTCTGGATCTTCAAGGATGGATCTCGCTTTGCTTGTGCTTGACTTTCAAGTGTGGCGGGTACATTGTACTCTGTCTGACTCTCTTGTGAGCCTTCAGCTATGTTCGAAAGTTCATTGTCCTCACTTTCTTTAACACTGTCAACATCCTGAGTACCCTACGTACTCGCAAAATTGTCACGCAAATTAAACAACACAGATGAACCGATTGGGAGTGTTCTCATCAAAAGTTACATTCACGGATTCTATGACAGTGGAGGTACTTGTGTTGTAAATACGGTATGCTCGACTATTGTTAGAATATCCAAGAAAGAACCCCACATCATATTTTGCATCAAATTTCCCAAGTTGTTCACGATCATTATAGATAAAACATTTACAACCAAAAACATGCAAGATGACTAACGCTTGGACTCTTATATTTCCATAGTTCGTATGACGTTAAACCCATACCACGACGATGGTACACTCTGTTCACGAGGTAACATGCAGTGTTGATTGTCTCTACCCACCATCTATGAGAGATTTTCTTGGAATTCAGCATAACTTCCATTTCTTGAAGGGTACGATTCTTCCTCTCAACAACTTCATTTTGCTGTGGCGTCTTAGGTGCAGAGAACTCGTGAAAAATACCGCGTGAGTCACAAAAATTCGAAAACTCATTATTTTCAAATTCACGCCCATGATCACACCGAATACCAGTTACAGTAGATCCCTTCTCATTTTCAAGTTTCAGACATAGAGTCCTAAAGGCGTTAAAGTGTCAGATTTCTCACGCAAAAAATCAACCCATGCATATCGTAGAAATCATCCATGCACACAAAAATGTACCTTTTACCTTGATAGCTTTCAACCGGTATAGGTCCCATTAGGTCCATGTGCAACAGCTCTAGAACTTGCTTCGATGCAATGTAATACAAGGCTTTGTGTGAAGCCCGAGTTTGTTTACCCAGTTACAAAGTTCACATATCGGATGTTCCTTCATAGTAATTTGGGAACTCCACGAACCACACCTGCATTTGAAAGTTTTACCAAGTGAGAATATACAATATGACCTAAGCGTTGATGCCAGATTTCGGATTCACTGGCAATTTCTTGAAAACATTTTTCACAAGAATAAAAAGATAGCAATAGTCAGTCGATCAAGATCCAGTAGTCACACAAGTACCTTCGTTGTTTTTCACAAAACATTTGTCACGTGCAAAACTGACACTAAGACCTTGATCACAGAGCTGAATCACACTCAAAAGATTAGCTTTCAAGTCATTCACAAGTAAAACATCATTCAACTTGGGCAAGCCACCTAGATTCAAACAACCAGTTCCAATAACTTTATTGTTCACACCATCATCATCTAGTTTTTACATCATAAAAGAATGCAAGTTCACCAGTCATATGCTCAGAACATCCACAGTCAAGGTACCATTTACCCTCAAGTGAAGTTTTGAGGGATAAGATTGATGCAAACTATTTAAACACATTTTTTGCAATCCATACTTGTTGATTTTTCACAATTTTCTTTTGAAAATTAAGCCTATGAACTTTCACTGGAATACCAGAGTAGTTCCACTTTGGCACTCTTCCAGTGCAAAGATCATGTTGCATTTTGTAACACTTGGGACCGATGTGGCCAGTTATACCACAATAATGACAAATAGGTATGAAATTACGTGATGATTTACTCTCAGAATCACTGACTGGGACATGAACCTTCACGTTACTTTCTGAAGAAGAGGGTTTACTTACAGTGCTTTTTACAAACCTATTGTAGAGATCAAGTGAAGGTTTCCTATGTAGACTAGTACCTTCGACACTTGACTTGCTGGAGAATCCATGTCTTGGATGTTTGCTTTTGGTTGACCCGTCTGACAAACTTTCAGGGTTTTCAGTTTTGCCTGTATATCCCAGCCCTGAAAGGTCACCATATTGCCTTCTCATTACGAGAAGTTCATTCAAATCTGCTTTCCGTTTGTTCAGTTGTCTCACGACTTCAGTAATTCGTTCAAGTTGTGCAGAATCCGCACTCAATTTTTCTTGCAAAATTCCATGTTTGTTCATCACTCGACTAACTTCACTCTTGAGATTGGTGATTTCCCTGTTCCTTTCAACAAGCAGTTTAGGAGTGGAGAACAGTTCAGACCCCAACTCTTCTATAGTTTGAGTTTTCTCCGTCCCATCTTGCTTGGACACCTTGGTACTATTTTCCAAAATGGAGGTACGGGCTTTTGAAGCATTTAGTTCATTTTCCTTTCGGTGAGAAAAGGTGGAGGTTACCTGTTCACTCAGAAGTTGATTCATTTTTGTCAACTTTTGAACCTTATCCTTTAATCTTTCAAGTTCATCGATTGATCCACCACTCCGTGCCTGACTTTTGAGTTTCTTGACTTCACTTTGAAGCTTTTTCATAGCTTCTGATGCTAGAGAGCATTTCTCCATGGCTAGCAAGTGTACTGGATCCATACACACGCTTTGTTAGGCTTCGTCATCATACGCATCATTCATGCTTTCTTCAAACTTTGTTGGGCTGTGCGAAGTGGTAAAGCACA